ACACACAGAAACTCAAAAGGTCATTGCGGCAACCCGTCAAAATAAAAGTTCAGTTTTTTTATCAGAAATATATTACTGTTAATATAGATATGTCCTAATGTAATAATACACTAACACTAATCCAAATAAATGATGAATTTTTTTAACAAAACTGAATTTAAGGAATAATGCATGTTTTAAATTTACATTTAACAGTAAAGCTCATTGTGTAGCATGTTATTTTACAAAAAGTTTATGATAAAATTAGTGTTTTATGGCTTAATTTTATTACCAGCAAAAACACAACACAGAATTAGAGAGGACATTTTTTCATATATATTTTTTTTTCTTAAATGTTCATAATACATGATTTCAATTAATTAGACATGCTTTTTGATTGCTAAAAAAAAATTACATGCCCGCTCCGCAACAACATTTTTTTTTGTAAAACATTTATTAATTTTTTTAATGTTAGTTAAAAATGTTTGTGTTAGTTCACCATTAACAAATACCATTTACATTTTTAAAAAGTATTAGTAAATGTTGAAACTAACATTAACTAAAATTAATTGTTCATTCTTAGTTCATGTTAACAAATGAAAGCTCAATGTGTTCAGTTTTTATTAAGTTTTTGTTTATTTAATTTTAGTTATATCATTAATGAGAAATATTGCCTAGGCAAAAATGTTAATTTATTGTTTATTTCATTTCAATTCATGATTTTTTTATGATTTTAGTTTTAGTTAAAGATAAAAACCCTGATAAACACAAATGAGCCTGATGTACAGTAAGCTATAAAAGTAATCAGATAATTTGGTCTTGGACGAATTTGATTAGAAACTCAAATTGAGATTGCTTCTGATACTCACACATGTGAGATTATTACTGGAGGACTTCTCAAAAAATCTGAAAAGCAAGAGACATAGGCTACAACGCTTCTCTTATTGCCGTCTAACTGAGACAAGTGATTTTTCATTTGTCCAGGAAGTCACCCTCCACCTCGACTCCACGCACCATCGGTCTGAGATGACATTTGGACACGTAATTATAAAAGCACTTAAAGGCGGTCGGCGTGAACACACTCGTCTTTACTCGCGGTGCTGTGTGTCCTCATCTAAAGGCATTAGAAACGATTTGCAGCTGCACTGCTGCTCACGCTTGACGTTGATGCTAGCCGGCGATGCAGAACGTGACGTGTGGATTGAGAAAGTGGCGGTTCTGTTGATCTTGCACCTCTCTGTCACATTAAAGCTGTCTGATGGCGACACACACTTCCGTCACAAATCACATGGCTGACCAGAACACCCATTTAGCAAAGGGCGCGCAAGGACCATTTGAGCTGACAACTGTATTTAAAGCATTGGTGAATTTAAAGTCATATTGAAATGGGATTCGCAAGAGCAACCAACTTACTTTGTTAACACAACACTGCAATGTTTGAATATCCTACTCGCTGTTTTTGTCTTGTTTTCCAGTACGTTCTTAAATCAAGATAGTAGGATGATTGGGCCGATTTGTCATACATATGAAGAGCGTTTCTCCCTCTGCACATTAGGACATATTCAATAAGTGTGGAGCTCATGTGCATATTCAGATTCATTTAAAAAAAAAAAACTTGTAATACAAAAAAAAGTTTCTTTTTATGTATACTTTTACTTTGTAAAGTTTTATTGTGGTAGGAGTAAAGGAAAAAAAATTAAGCCTATTTGGGTGTATTTTGGCCATTTTCGATTAGTGTATAGCTCATTTGCATATTAAAATAAATTTTCAAAGAAACTTGTAATGCAAAAAAAAATACTTTTCATGGGTACTTTCATTGTGTAAAGTTTCATTTTGATGGGAGTAAAGGAAAAAAATAGCCGCATTGGGGTGTATTGTTGCCTGGCCTTATTGGCACACATCTCGGATTGATGAGAGTTTAACATATTTCCTCAACTAGGATTTCTTAGGACTTTTAGTATCTGGACACCTTATAGAAATGATCTAAGCTGCAAAAAATTATTTTACAATTAGTCTGTCGTAAAACGCTACTTTGCCTGGACTACTTGAGAAGCAAATGCAAAAGATGTTAAGAATACAGTATCAAAAATAAGTGGGTTTTTGCTGAAAACAATAAAGTTTATCTGCCAATGTGGTCAGATAAATAAACTTGCTTTCCTTTTGAATTAAGTTTATTGTTCTGACCCCATTGGCAGATTTATTTCTTTGTTTTAAAATATTAATTTTATTCCTTAAAACTCATCTTCGATCAGCAAAATTACATATTTAAAAACTTCTTCATGCCTTACAATATCTTGACTGACACCCTGGACACCCTTGCCTCATTTAGTATGCGCGGTTCTATGAATATACAGATGAGCCCCGCCTCCACTCACTCACTCTGGTTGACGATCACACGTTGATCTGGGGTGCGTTTCCCGAAGGCATCATTCGTTAGCCATCTCTATTGGTAACGACGGAACTTGCGACCATAGAAACTCACCCCTGATTGGTTACAAGGTGGTTTGTGACGTCAGAAACACCAGCGATTTCACACCGTGTTTTTGAGACTGCCTTTGGTTCACTGCAGTTTTAAGGAGGAAATACTCAACAATGCTGTCCACTTACGACAACATATTCATTAAAGCATAGACACAAAAACAACATTAAAAGCTGGATTTCCACCACAGGGTAGCCTGGGAAAACTCAGACAACTTCTGGCAAATTTAGATTTGCTCCGCAAGTTAGTCTGGCAAAGAGCTCATTCAAGCTCATTTCCAGTCCGCCGAAATCGCGGCACCAATCAGAAACGTATACACGTTTCTACTGGGTAAAGTGTATATGGATCAGCTTCCTCCTTCGAATCACAACCTGTAAGTATTATTAATAATTGTTGCTTTTATGGGTTTTGTAGCGTCGGGGCTCGAGGAGGGAAGGCGCAATAATTATGTGTGTGTGTGTGTGTGTGTCTAAGTTACGCTCAGCGCAGCTTCTAGGTCTCCTATGTCAATTTGTTTTTAAATATGTGAAATGTTTGTCGCTGTTATTGGAGTTGTCATAAAGAATAGAGCGTCTTGTAGTACTGCAGTGCTTTATCAATATGTTTATGCGTTATGCTAACAAACAAAAACTAACTGGGTCATCTGACCAATCACCGCCGATTAGCGTCACGCAAAGGAGTGTTTTGGAAAAATGAGTCGTTGTACGAATCATTTGGGAGTCGGTGAGCAAATCAGGTAAAAATAAATGCATATTATAAGACAACAAAAGTGTTTTTTGTCTTTGCATTCATGTAAAACTGTTGTTGGGGACTCCCAGAACAATATTAGGAACATTTTAAATGCCATAATAGGTGCCCTTTAACATCTTAAAGGGTTAGTTCACCCAAAAATGAAAATTAAGTCATTAATTACTCACCCCCATGCTGTACCAACCCCGTAAGACCTTCGTTCGTCTTCGGAACACAAATGAAGATATTTTTGATTAAATTTGAGAGCTGTATAACTACCACATTGGCTCCTAAAGGACTGCCTCTTGACGGCCCAGAAAGTCAATGAAGAAAATGTTTAAATATCCCAAGTGACTACCGTGGCTCAACTATATGTTTATCAAGCGACGCGAATACTTTTTGTGCGAAAAAACAAACAAAAATAACGAGTTTATTCGACTATTTCTTTTCTTTCTTGTAGGCCAGAACGAGACTTCCTTAGATTTCCACGACGCATGCGCGAGAATTGCGATCTGCTCACAACAGCTTACACTACTTCAGATCGCAATTCTCGCGCATGCGTCGTGGAAATCTAAGGAAGTCTCGTTCTGGCCTACAAGAAAGAAAAGAAATAGTCGAATAAACTCGTTATTTTTGTTTGTTTTTTCGCACAAAAAGTATTCGCGTCGCTTGATAAACATATAGTTGAGCCACGGTAGTCACTTGGGATATTTAAACATTTTCTTCATTGACTTTCTGGGTCGTCAAGCGGCAGTCCCTTAGGAGCCAATGTGGTAGTTATACAGCTCTCAAATTTAATCAAAAATATCTTCATTTGTGTTCCGAAGACGAACGAAGGTCTTACGGGGTTGGTACAGCATGGGGGTGAGTAATTAATGACTTAATTTTCATTTTTGGGTGAACTAACCCTTTAAGTAATTTTGCTTCTATAGATGTATCTTCATTTGAGAATGTTTAGATATTTGTATTGGAAAACAAGACAAAAATACCAAGTTAAAAAAATGCAGCGAACATATTTCTGAGTATAGGACGGCATTAGATTTTGATTTTATCCATCGAAAATTTATTGTAAAACATTTTACAGAAAGATTATACAGACAAACCTTTTTTAGAGAATAACATGCAGACGTGCACTGATGAATTATTCACAATAATACAAGAAACGTGCATTGAGAAAGTAAATAGGTTTCATTTTGACTTTAAATAAGGTAGTATAATTGCCTCTGGTGCTGTAATGAGTAAAATCAGAGGTGCATTTCATCAGCATTTATTCTGCAAACTTCACTCCAAACCGTTTTGCTCTCAAAGTCTTGAATATTACATGTCTCAGCTCCTAGAATGAGTCATCAGACCTCAGAGGCAAAGAATGATCGCAATTTAAATTAAAAAAAAACACGAGTAGTGAACATACTTTAAGAGCGCAGGCTGCGACCACTGTTCTACCACTACAGACTCTCTCTATAACAAATTGAAGAGTTCAGATGCAAAAGCCTCTAAATGCCATTTAAAATGTTCTTCTTTAATGATGATTTTTATCAAACTTTTATATTTAAGTTCAGTAATTTCACTTGAATAACAATTAATAGGTAATTATCATTGCCATTTAAGTGAAATCACTGAACTTAAATATACAAGCTTGATGAAAATGATCATTCTAGAAGAAAATTTCAAATGGCACTTAGAGGCTTTTGCATCTGAACTCTTCAATTACAGAAACATACTATTGCTTCACCTCATTCCCAAGATTCCCGTTATGGGAATTCATTCCTGATTTTACACTTTGTACAGTGAAAGAGTATTGAAATGCACTCACAGTCCCCAGGGAGTCTGTCACCATGCAATCGATCTTTTTCATCCTGCCAGATGCTACGGCACGCAATTCCTCAGCACAGTCAAAGAGCTAAAAGAGAAAAACAAAAATAAAGCTGGTCAAAGTGTCAAAATATACCAGCAATAAACCGCATTAGACACATGGAGACCAACAGTAGAAGGCCGTCCATCTAGGCAACACTTTCAGGCATCAAAGCACCTTTACTAAATAAATCAATGCATAAATAAATGAAAACAAATAAATAAATGCATTTACAATTAATGCATAATTAATCTCATAAATTATTGCATAAATAAGCAAATGCATAAATAATTGCAATGAGAAAATCCATAAAATAAATAAATAAATGCATTAAAAATATTGAGAAACCTGTGAAGAGAAAGCATAACAATTAATGTCTTAAATGGTAGTCAATCACATTTTGGCTCAAATTAAAGGTGTAATTAAGCAGCACAGCTGTTTTTTCCAACATTGATAATAATCATAAATGTTTCTTGAGCATCATTCTATATTAGAGTGATTTCTGTAGGATCATGTGACACTGAAGACTGGAGTAATGATGCTGAAAATTCAGCTTTAATCACAGGAATAAATTACACTTTACTGGATATTCAATACATTATAATAATATTTCCCTGTTATTACTATTATTAGTATAATTTATCCAATAAATGTAGCCTTGAGAAGAGACCTCTTTCAAAAAATATAAAACATATTACAGACCCCAAACTTTTAAACAGTAGTACCGGTATATACACACACACACACACACACACACAGAATACAACCCCAAAATGCAATGCAATGAGTTCAGTGAAAAGTTTTAACCAAGCTGGTGGACCAACGCTGAACATGATTTAGTTGTAACATTCATCATTTGAATATCAACCCAATATTTGTTGGTGCTTCCAATTTTTTTTTACACAAAGCATCAAGCTGTTAGCTAACATCAACTCAGAGTTAGTCGAGTCTCTTATGGCTTTCCCTTGGGAAGCACTTGAGAGATCGTTAATGATGCGTTTCAAATCAGACACTTGTTAGGTTCAGGTCTCTGTAAGGAGTAGTCGGGTTTAATAGGGTTTAAAGCAGAGCGATGGGGTCAGAGGAGGTCCTGCATTAATATTAAAATGAGGACAGACGAGCCGAACACCCACTCGAAGACTGCAGTTGAGATGAATCCAGCTTTATAGAGGACTGCAACTGCTCACAACAACAAACCTGAGCCAGCAAATCATGCAAATCAGCAACAGATTGAACAAAGAAGAGACGAAAGACACGTGATGTGTCCAAAACAGCCCAAGAAACTTCAATAAATGGAAAGAGGACACTGACGATGCGTCAACAGACAAGAATTAGAAAAGTTAAATCATCATTTTGGTAATGTGAACACGCCTCAAATCAAGCGCATGTGAACTGATCGGTGTTCCTCTATTACTAGTTATAGCATGAAAGAACACCAGAAGGAACGGTGAAAGATACAGTGCAGTAGGGCTGTTGGAACGAATTCCGAAATTCGAATATAATTTGAATATTTAAAAAAACAATACTATTCTATACTATAATAGAATGAATTTGAGCATTTAATATTCAAATATTATTCGAATATTACATAAAATATGGAATTCGAATAGTATTATAGAGGAATATTGACAGCCCTAGTGCAGCTTACTGAAATAAATCATGTCTTCTGCAGAAAGACACGAATAAAATCGCTTATGAACAATCTCACGGAAAGACATCCGATGACCATACAGCATGTTAGATAGCTAGAAAACTATAGAGAAGAGCATTTTGCTAAATATTTGCACTATATTAATGTATTTTACTCAAAAAACATAACATTATTATAAAAAACACATTATATCCATTTTATAAGAATGGGTTGTGAATTTTAACCTTTAAAGGGTTAGTTCACCCAAAAATGAAAATTCTGTCAGTATTTACTCACCCTCATGTTGTTCCAACCCCGTAAGACCTTCGTTCATCTTCAGAACACAAATTAAGATGTTTAAGATATTAAGATCACTCCTGCATACTAGTCCATAGGCTTCTTGAGGGAATGACTCTTGCTGTCCCCGAAAAGCATTAAAGACATCGTTAAAATAGTCCAAGTGACTACAGGGGCTCAATCTTAAGTTTATCAAACGACGAGAATACTTTTGTGCGCAAAAAACAACAAAAATAACGACTTTATTTCAACTATTCACTTCCTTCTCCATGGGCCTGTAGTCAGTTAACGTAGTGTGATTGCGTAAAGCTACGTCACACGTAGGCTCACTATTGACTGACGCTGGTCATGTGTGTGATGCGTGTGACGTACAATAACAGAAGCTTACGCTATTAAACTAGTAACCTGACTCGCGCAGAGGGAGAAATAAACCAATAGTTGAAATAAAGTTGTTATTTTTGTTGTTTTTTGCGCACAAAAGTGTTCTCGTCGTTTGATAAACTTAAGATTGAGCCCCTGTAGTCACTTGGACTATTTTAACGATGTCTTTAATGACTTTTCGAGGCCATCAAGTGTCATTCCCTCAAGAAGCCTATGGACTAGTATGCAGGAGCGATCTTAATATCTTAAATATCTTAATTTGTGTTGCGAAGATGAACGAAGGTCTTACGGGGTTGGAACAACATGAGAGTGAGTAAATACCGACAGAATTTTCATTTTGGGGTGAACTAACCCTTTAATAATACGTTTTTCTGTATGTTTTCAGCATTAGTTGAGAGAAATTTGTTTCCTGTACCTGATATTTAGCCAAATTAATGGATCGGGAATCAAGATCAGAATCGAATTGCAAGCTTACCTATCGAATCAACCCAAGAGAGATGAACAACACAAATTAAGTCTATTAATCAATAATCTGCCCCTGCATAACTTTCTGTGAAAAAGGAATAAATGTTGTCAGACAGTGATTTTCTTCCTCTAGTGTTCACTTCAGTCAGAAATCGCTGTGATTTGTCTGTAACGGTACTGTACGTATTTTGAGTTTTGCAATAATGTAGGAAGAGGCGTGTTTTTCCGATGTTTGCCGCTTTGACCCTGAGAAAACACAGAGTGTGAAATGACAGCAGACCTCTTCATCCTTCTCCTCATCATCAGCTGAGAGGTTTCAGAGCCGGCGTTCTCAACCCCTGACGGAAGAACAATTACTCTCCCCAACGAGCCCAGATTTCCTGAAGCTGCTTTTCTTATTTACCTGGAGGAAATGAAAGACTGAAGAGAAATGAAGCGATGTGACAGTGGAAAGCTTGATACTGCTTGAGTGGCACTGACAAATCGGCTCGTACGAATGTGACTATCAGAAGATTTAGCAGATTAGATTGAGTTAAAAATTAAACAATTAAAGCATTTAATTAAATGTGCAAATTTTGTTTGGGATCAACATTTTATGGAGTTAAATCCATCCATTCCATTGAGAACAGCATTAAAATCCTAACCTAACCTATACATATAATACATATAATATAAACATATAAAAGATTAAAAAAGTAAATTAAAAACTTTAAGTTAAAGTGGAAGTACTAAAACAACTAACATTAAAACTGAAATAAAACTAAATTAAAGATAAATAGGAATGTTAAAAGCTAATAATGTATTACAATTAAGCAAAAATGTATTAAATTTAAATTAATAAAACTAAAAATATATAAAAGTTCATTTAAAATATTAGTAAATACTAAAATTACATCGATTGACAATTGATTGAATGGTGGAATGTGAAAGAAAGAAAGAGTAGTTCACTTTTGAAAAAACTTTTGCTGATAATTTACTCGCCCCCATGTCATCCAAGATGTCCATGTCTTTCTCTCTTCAGTCGAAAAGAAATGAAGGTTTTTGATGAAAACATTTCAGGATTTTCTCCATATAATGGACTTCAATGGGAACCAAACGGTTCAAGATCCAAAAGACAGTTTCAGTGCAAACTGCAAACTGTTCAAAGGGCTTTAAATGATTTCAGACGATGAATAAGGGTCTTATCAAGCGAAATGATCACTCATTTAATAAATAAATAACAAAGTTTAAGTTTTATAAATGGTCAACTTGCTCTGTTCTGTGATGCGCGTTCGTGACTTTCCTGTTGAAACTCGTTCATCAAAATGAACGAATCTTTTCCAGAGTCAACTCGTTAATTTCGTTCGTTGAATGAACCGAATGACACGAAAAAATATTTGTTCATTTTGATGAACAGGAGAGTCACGAACGCGCATCACAGAACAGAGCAAGGAGACCATTTGAGCTTATAAAACTTAACCTTTGTTATTTTTTTTTTTAAATGAGCGATCGTTTCGCTTGATAAGACCCTTATTCATCGTCTGGAATCGTTTAAAGCACTTTGAACAGTTTGCAGTTTCCACTAAAACTGTCTTTTGGACCTTGAACATTTTGGTTCCCATTGAAGTTAAAAATGCTGGAATGTTTTCATAAAAAACCTTAATTTCTTTTCGACTGAAGAAAGAATGACATGAATATCTTGGATGACATGAGGGTGAGTAAATTATCAGCAAAATTTTTTTTTAAAAGTGAACTACTCCTTTAAATTATTAAGAAAAAATATATTTTTTTCATGTCCACTTCTCATGTTTCTCAAACGTTTCTCTTAAAGAGAAAAATAAACAGTAATCTTACATGCATCTCCTCCAGGGTTAAGAAGAGATCCCAGTGTGTGTGCTCAGAAAACACTGAACTCTCATATAATATCTGCATTCAAACATTTCTCAAATGATCATGCTTTATGTGTGAACAACTGAACTCTTTTGTCTGTTTATTTCCCCAGATGAATTTTAGATGAGACATCTGAGACAAAGGTGATAATTGAGCAGCAACAGAGAACAATGAAACGGCAAATTCCCAGGGATCGTATGACGTTTTGCTATTTCTCATTTATTTCAGTAAACAGACAGGCTGTTATTAAAAACGATAGTCAAACGACTCAAGATCAAAAATGAGAAGTCTGGTGACGAACACGGCCTAAGAAGGGGAAATGAATCGCTTTGCTGTCCTGTCAGTCACAAAGAAATCAAAACATGAGGAGTTCTTGCCGACTGTCATGACATGTCTTTTAAGTCAC